GTCCAGACAGAGTGTCAGCTACCCAGCGATGCACACATGCTGAGTCTGTCCGTAAATGAATGGTTTTGGCCTTCCATTGTAATGCAAGGTTGACACCTCGCAACACAGCATCGAGCTCAGCTAAGTTGATGTGCTTGTCTTCGCGCACCAGTCGGAACCAGCTTGCGTCTTCTGCCACGGCGCCATTGCTCTCCACAACCACACCGGTGGCTAAGGAGCTTGCATCTACCCACACGGTTACATTTTGCTCACTGATGCACCAGTCACCAGTCACCTTTCACCGGATCGTCCTGGGCTAGTCTCTTAAAAATGTCGTCGATCATCTGGACCAGAAAAGGGTCCTGCACTTCATCATCCCATCCAGTGGTAACAGTGTTTGCCCTCCGCTTCACAAATGCTGTGGCGACACGTAACCAACCGCATACAGGAAAATGGCCAGTCAACTTTCCATACAGCGAGAAGACAATTCAGCGGGTAAGTTTATCAGGGACTACCAGAAATTCACATCCACGATGTCATCGCAGTTTTCCTTGCTCCTCCCAGACATGCAATCCCAGTACGCGTGTGCCAATTCTTAGCCGCTCCAGAGTCTAACTTGACAGACCAAACTGCTCCAAATGTTCCTTGATGCAGACCACAGAACACACACTCTCATTAACAAAAACGTTGTCAATATAAGAGGAGGAAGCTGCATTGACGATCTCGTCCTGGCTCAAGACGGTATTAACAATGGCCCGCATGATTAAAGGGGCAACATTAAGCCCAAATCCTAAGCGGGTTAGACAATACCTTTGTCCCTTAATCTCCACTGTTTGGAATGGCCAAAGGGACTTGTCGATGTGTACCTGCAGAAGGGCCCGGTGTAGGTCCAGCACTGCAGCATTTGGTCCTTGCTGACGCCATTCCCGTAATTTTTGCGAACACACATCTGCGTTGGCCGCGTACGCATCAACGTATTCATTGAGTTCCCGATGGTCCATAACGGGCCGAACCTTCTGTTTGTTTTCCTGCAGAATGGCCATGAGGGGGATTAAACCCTTTGGGGGTCCGAGTTCCTCCTCCGGCTAAGGAAGGAGCCAGCCGTTATCTATCCAAATCTGGAGTTCCCGATCATACTCCTCCCGAATTTGTGCAGGAGCTGGATATTCTGCCAGTCTATTTCTTAACGTACCTGGAGGTTGGTTGCCAGCCCATTTCCAAGATGCGGTCCACCTCCAAGTGGTCTCATCGAATTCTACTTTAAAGTCGGGCTTGGTAATGGTGATGGCAGCAACGACTGGTTCAACACGCTGCGGAAATTTCACCTCACCGGTGCCAGTTACAGATATTCCTCCCAACTGTTTGATGGCGTCTAGTCCGAGCAGGAAGTCAAATCCCAGCTGGTCTCCATTCACAACCAGGGCTTCCATAGCGATGGGCGGTTTTGCACCAACACTAACTTGTACCACTCCAATTCCACAGCAGTCAAGTGCGCCTCCGTCTACTGTAAGCACGCGTGTTGATTTTCTTGTCCATGCACAACAGCATGACTTGCGGACTAGTGACTGTGCATCCTGTATCCACCAGAGCTGTCTGTGGTATTCCATTGATGCGAACTGTCACTACAGGCAATGCGCCATTTACAACAGTTTTGGGGAGGAGATTGGCGCTGAATTCTCGACCCCTTGCCCATTTCCCGGACAACACCGAGCAATGTGCCCTTGCTGATGACATCGATAGCAAGTGATGGTCCGTCGATGCTTGGTACCAGCACCTTTGGATGGTTCATGACCCAGGAGACAATCGCTCGCCCTATGATTGACTCCATCGCATTTATAGCACCTCGTGTGCACATCTGTTTCTTTCAACTGTGCAGCCACTGCGGCCTGCTCCGTAGGACCAGTGTACTTCTTCAAAATAGCGCGAGCTTGTACCAACACATGTGACAAATCCAGGTCTTCTGTCTGGGATGACACTCTTAAAAGCTCCTCTGCATGCTCAGACAAACCAGCAACAAATACACACTGCAAGCACTTTTCCAATACGCCACCAAACAGAACCGCGAGTCTGCGCAGTTCTGCCAAAAAGACGTTGACCGTCTCCCCTGGATGAAGGCGACGTGCTGCAAACTGCTTCCACGCGGAGAAGGGATCTAAGGCGAAAGCTGTGCATAACGCTTTCTTAACGCAATTGAAGTCTGTGCGCTTCTCCTCACTCAATTGCTGGTACACAGCATATGCGCCGCCTGCCAAACGCATCAGAATAACATACTCAATTCGCTTCACATCGCTCAACTGACATATTAGTTCCGCCTTCTCCAACCATTCTACTACCGACTGTCCAGAATCGCTTCTGTCGAACAGTGGTATCAGCTTCGGGTCGAAGGCCATAATCCCGAAATAGCTTGTGCGAGAAAACGAAAAAAAAAAAAAAAACTTCTTGTGACACAAAAGACAAATGCCTTCTTGCGAAACAAAAAACGAACTCCTTCTTGCGAACCAAACTTTACGACAGCAAACGAGCAAAACGGCACCCACAACTGCTGCCGACGGACAACTGACAGCAACGGCTGCTGTCGCCCAAGAAAAGACGCCAAACGACTCACGCATCTTCTTCTTATAGTCCTCGGTCGAGTCCATTATGGTACTCCAAGGTGTGTCCGGCGACGACACACACACGCAGTTCGAGGACATTTCCGCGCATGCTCGTTACATAGGCAATCATGTATCTGGCAATACACAACTGATGAGGCAGATTTTTTCCCACAGTAGGTTGTGATTTCTTTCTGCGGTAGACCAGTTGCCATCCAAGGCTATAGAACCCAGTCTGTCCTGCTATTTACCCATAGCTGGGCAGAAGAAGAGGATTCATACCTTTCCCAAGGGTATTAGCATACAAGTAATGGATTCAATTGGAATTCGAACTTAGCTCTCCGATTCCTCAACCCGAGCCACTATTACTCCACGAAGGTAGCCCAAACTAAAATATTTTCAATATATCTAAAACATTTAATGCAGACAGAGAATACAAAAAACAGTAGCAAATTTATCTTTGTAGCTCAATTAGTCCTGAAAATTTCATTAATATCCAACAATTATTTCATTTTTGCAAGAATTTCCAAATCAATGTTTTTTACTGAAAAAAAGATGCTAAATTTCCCATAGTATAATCTTTGGCCCACCATTGATGCAAGAAAAACAAGGTTTTTAACCAAAATTTCGAATGTGCTAGAAAGGATTAAAAAAAACTTTCATTTTAATAATGAAAAAAATACTTTGGTCTTTCCTTTTTTAAAAAAAATCTTTGTAAAACTTTTCTTTTATCTGTGAAAATTGTTTGAAGCGTTTTTAAAAGAAATCAACAATATTCAAGCATATGGCACTAAAGATGAGGACAACAGTCTGAACAATGTAAATAATTATAATACCTCATCTCAGAAATATAGACAGATCCTGGAGAAGACCAGAGCATACAACAGCTGAAATGTTGTGAATATGGCAACAAAGATAAGGACAACAGTTGCTGTTGAAAGAATGTAAATTACAATACCTCATAGACAAATATTTAAGAAAATTACGATGACACATACCAGGACCTCTTTCCATCATTGCAGGAATTTGTTTGGCAAAATTACTCACAATGACGACAAACATTTTCTCTCATTTTACTTCAGCATGTAGATTAAAAATTATTTAATGATTAGGCCCTTTTATCGTTTGTTTATTTATATTTATTTATTTTATGCCGCTAAAAACTGTGAAGTGTGTTGTTACCCCAGAAAGACAGGTTGCTCAGTAAAATTGCAGATTAGGACTCAGAAACCAATTTAAGAAAGAAACATCATTTCTGGCATGAAAAAGCCTGAATATTCCTCTTAATAACATGGACTTTAAAACTTTGTTTTTATTAAGTTGGGGCCTTAAGATTATTACAAAAACAGCAATAAAAATTGCGGAAAGTCCACCTGAGAGTGTTGACAATCTTATTTGGGTCCCTGGTACAGATTGGTCGCCTCAATCAGAAATCTGTGAAGATACTCGGATTTTTTTTTTTTTTTTTTTAATTATCAAGTAAAAATGGGTCAACTTTCGCGCAATAAGCGAGGTGAACAGCGCGCAGTAATCTGGTCCCGTAAGGGCGGCCGTGCTGTACCCGGGACCCAAGTAATATTGCGGTAGATTTCCACAAATTTCTAATGCTATTGTTTAAAATAATAATCATGCTATTTTTTTTGCACACCCACTTTATGCTGAAAAAGGCCCCAAACTTTATAAAAAAACAGTTTTAAAGTCAAACTGTTTATGTTTATTATTAAAGTGGAAAGAGCAAATGTCGGCGCTATTACACTATCGGCCTTCGTCGTTGTTTCCTGTCATTCAGCAATGGGTTGCCCCAGGTACGACAGTCTGGATTGATATGTGAGCCTCATGCAATGGAATATTTTTGCCGCTACATCATATTTCACACGTGTTGGCCTCACATTAAACTGGCCTTATGTCTAATTTCCTCTTCTTATTTGAGGCAAATAAATGCAATGAATAATGCTTGAGCTTGAGCATATCTACACTTCAACAATAATTTTTTGTCGAATTTGATATTAATTAATAACCAGTAAATTTCAGTTTACCTGATGACAAAATTGAAGGTATTTTTTTACATTTTATTTTTACAAACATTGATTTTTTTGTTTCTCGAGATTTATATTTTAATTTAAGTGTGATAGAGCCCTAATGTCACCCTTGGTGTTAGCCGAGAGACAAAAAAACCCAAATAAGACTGTCGATATCTCCAAACGGTAGGTTTCCGCAATTTTTAATGCTGTTTTTGAAATATTCAGACTTTTTTTACGTCAGAAATGATTTTTCTTTTTTTTAAATTGGTTTCTGAGTCCTAATCTGCAATTTTACCAAAGACCCTTTAAAAATAAAATAGTTTCGATTTTCATAAATAAAATAAAAATGTTTCCTATGACAAAAAAAACAAAAACAAAACATTTTATTATAAAATAAAAATAAATTTAC